AACCTCCTGTCAGCTCGTTTGCTAAACAAAATGAAGCCAACACATGTTTTGTGCACTTCAGCCAAGTATCCACTATATAGACTTAAAACATGAATATCACATATTTCTTCTTGTCTTTGCTCTCTGGCTCAAATGACTGAGGTTTTCTGTTTCCAGAGCTCCTCTTTGACAAATATTAGTTAACTAACTAACTTAAATGTATGTTCCCAAAGGCTCTCCTCTTAATTCAGTCTAAAAAGTTGACTAACACGAGTATAACTCATCTCTGCTGAGTCCAACAGTCAAATCTGTCATTTACGAGTTTATAAGACTCCAATCTTCCTCCTCTTCCTTCTCCTTGTCAGATCACCTCCTAGCGGCCATATTTGTTTGACATGTCCATATTTAGTGATTCTCACCGTCTTTAAAGACATCAAAGGACCATTCTTGTTGTTATGGTTACTAAACTCTCAGACTGAAGCAGAAACACGTCCACGTCGAACACTGAGACCTCTCTGCTGATGTCCTCTCTTTTATTTTGTATTTCTTTATTTTTCTTCCACTAACTTGAGTGTTACCGTGTCACCATGGTGACCGGCGACCTAACTGACGACAGAGCTCCAGTTGTATTAACTTGGTGACTGACTACAGTCCCCATGATGCAACAGGGCAGCCCTGAGGAAAAACGACGACGAGAACATTTGGGATTAAATATCAAAGGAACAAACAAGGATTAAAAAAAAAAAAAAAAAAAAAAAATAGGATGAAATACTGTTGATGTCTCGTGACTTACAACAAAAAAAGGACTACATGGTGATGTCATCGAGAGCTTGTTTTTACCCATATTACCCTTCAAACATTACCGTCCAATCACTTCCTTCCTCCTCATTCACTTCCTTTCAGCTGGTTTTTACTTCAGAGTTGTCATTTGCTGTCACATCCAGAGTTAAAAATTACGACCTGTAACTTATATAATGTGAAATATAACCATAGAAAAACACGACTGGATTCACACAAGAAATGAACATAAGATTTAAGATTTAGATTTTTGCACAGATCTGGTGATTTGAGATGGGATTTAATCCTCTTAATGTTAAAAACTTGAATATAAAAATGTTTGTCAGTGTTCACATCACCGCTCAGACTCTCTTACACTGTTACATCCTAACTTCCTTTCCATTATGTGGTTAAATGTTGTATTATTTCTGTGCCACTCTGTCTTGCTTACTGCTGCCTCTGTTTGTGACTACAGTTCCCAGAATGCCTTTCAGCAGAGAAGGTGTGTCAGATTCTGTATAGTCTTTTTATAACTGGGTGACATAAAAACACAGCAGTTTTCTGCAGGTAGATAAAAGGTGCACTGGGGAATACAATTTAGTTGGAGTTTGGTATCAGCATGTGATCTGAAGCGGCTTTACTGATTGGCCGATGAAGTTACTGAATCATGTGGTCAGTAATTTAAATACTGCTATTACTGAATGTCATGCTGGATTATTCTGGAGTTACCTTGATAAGTAGTTTCTGTGTGGACAAGAGTCGACCATGATTTTGTATTTAATACACATTAGTCAGTTTAAGGTGATACTTCTGTTGGTATAATGTAGTGTTTATTGTGTTAAGGGCACACATTAAGGTGTGAAGGGTAATTGTTTGGGTACGAATTATGAAAATGAGAGGACTAAATACACAAACATGTGACTTTAGGGATTAAATACTGCGCAAGTGTTAATACATTCATGAAAATACAGCAGTGTGTTTTGAACCTTTCCTGTACCGCATCTGGTCTGTTTCGCTCATATGTAATGAACTTCTGTCTGTTTGATCACTGAGTTTCCACGCTAGAAAGAAAGCAGCGACTCTTTGATTTGGATACACAGATACACATTTATTATGTCTTAGATCATATATCAAATCCTATTTTGACCACATGTTAATCTAAGGAACAGGAAACACACGTCGCTATAGAAATGTTCATGATGTTTTTTCCTTCTAACAGTGTAAAAGTGTTTCCGGATGATTTCTACTTCCTGTGTGAGTGCAGCCAGTCTGCTGTCTATAGAGATTTCTTTTTATTTTAACCCCAAATGATCATAGTATTTGCTCTGCGGTGCTATTTGCTGTCTAACAACTATCTAGGAAAAAAAACCTCCTGGTTGTGTTTTGAATGTATTTGTAAATGTTTAGGTGTGTTTTCTAAAGACGCGCACTAGAAACCGTTCTGGACCAGCTGAGAAACTTCAGATCAGAGTCCTGGTTCTGAAATGGACACACACACACACACACACACACACACACACACACACACACACACACACACACACACACACACACAGACTGAAGGACAAACTGCTGAGCACTTTGATTGGAGGATGGAGGGATGAATGGACCAATAAAGGGTTCACGGTGAAGCGACGACACACGATGTACAGCCAGTTAATCCTGACCTAACACACCTGTACAGTCACCACTGACCTGGATACAGTGTTGGTTTTAGTTTGTGAATAAAGTGTCGAATGCCAAAATGTACCTATTTACTGCTCAAAGTGTGTTTTTTATTGTTGTTTTTTTTGTCCTTTTCCAAATGATTCTTTTGGCTTTAAATGTTTAAAGTTTAATACATCATAAAAGACTAAGAAATCCAGAAAATATTCACTTTTGAGATGCTGGAACCCAGTGGCGAGCTGTGACTTTTATACCTAGGCCCTCTGACCTCTGAGTGATTTTGGTAAAACTAATAAAAATGTAACTAAAAAAATGTTTTAAAAAAAACATTTAAAAGAAAATATATTTTTTTAATGTTTTTAAATATTATTTTGTAGAATATCTTAGGGCCCTGCCGGCTCGCCACTGTTACTTAGATACTATGTTATAAGAGTAACCTGAGTTTGCATTCAAGTCTTGCACTAAGAACCAGTAATACTTTATGGTTGAATATGTTGATTTCATTGTCTTGAGTTACAGGATGCTGTGTTAACTAAAATATTTCATTTTACTGAGTTACATACAGTAGGAGGTTATTCCTTCAAGAGAAGGGGACATGTTGTGTCCTGTTACTGTAGCCAGAGGGTGCTGTTGGACAGAGAGTTGATATAGGATGCCTGAAGGTGGAAGTTGGATAAAGAAGAATAAAGATTGAGTAAAGGATAGCACACGACAACAAGAGGACATACCCTCCATTACAAAGTGCACCATGATGGATGTGGCTGAGGTGGAACTGTTCTTAGGAAGGTTCATGTATAAAGAGAACTGAGCAGTGTCAGAAGCAGGACTCTGTTCATTCCTATATTCCACAATGTGTTTTGACCAAGCGGCAAACTCTGGGGAAGAGCCGGGACGCCAATACGGAAGTGCCACAAACTGCAGTTCATATATTGGCCGATAGGCGATGACTGCAGAAAGGAGCCATTTCCATAGACCCCCATGTTAAAATGCCCATTTTCACAGCAGAAAAAAAACGTTTCTAGCCCTGGCTGCAATACATTTTATTATGTATATAGTTAGATTCCACCTTCATGATTATGAATCTGTGAGTGAATTGTTTTCTAACATGACCCTTTTATTTATATTAGGTCTTAAAGTTTTTGCATAAATTAGGGCGTGGTCACATTGAGTGACAGCTCTGTCAAGTGACTGCTGCTGTTAGCTTCTTGTCTCTCTGCTAGCTGCTCCGTCCGTGAAGCTACAGGGACTCTGCCTGCCCAGTTCATCCAGGGAACACAACTTGACCCCGGCCGTGTTTGTTTGTTCTTCATGCTTATATATCGGACTATTGTGACTCGCTCTGCGGTTAAAACAGACGGTGCATGAATGCCGTTTTGCGGTAAGTGAAATTCGAGTACTTATGTGTTTATGATTTTAATCAGCTACGTAATGAATGTTGGATTAGCGTGGTAGCTACATCGGTGCTAACGATGCTAATCGTAGCCTCCAAGTTAACTTAAAACCATAGACTGTATATATAAAGGTTAAAACGAAATAGACAAGTGTTAAGCGTTAAGTGGGATAATACTGGAGAACAAAAGGCTTCTGCTTGAGGTTGATAAAATAAGGTCATCCTTGTAACTTAGAGAGATATTTTATTATGTAGGTAGGAACTGTATGCATCGCTAAGGTTAATTTAAATTGGCTATGCTCAAGTATGTAGACAAGCTAACGTCGAAGTAGTGTATGTGAAATCAACCTCACAATAAGATGTGTCTATATTACAATTATTAATGTCATATTTCAAGATGATTACTTCGATATTACAATATGGTTGGTTGAGCTGGAGTTCATTATTGAGCTTACACGTTAACATCACAGTCATCTGAAGAACGAACCCAAACCTTGTTATTTTTATTAATTGCATTACCAAATTGGTATCAAATAAATAGTAAGCATTGGTAACACAACTTCCAAAGTTACAGTAAAATAAAAAGGACCCTGACTCGGACAATACACAATCCAACATGTTCAACAGAAGAGAATAAGTTATATTGTTTGTACACATGGTACTTTACATATATATCTGTTTGTTTAAAGTGCCCAGGTTATGCAGACAGGCTGGACCAGAGAGTGAGAGACAGAACTGGACTCCTCACAGCAGTGAACTTCAGCACAGGTACAAATACTCTTTTTTCATACTGTACAAAGAATCAAGAAAGATATTGGTTTAAATAAATGAA